GCTGAATGATGTCACAGTGAGCTGATCTCAGGCTGAATGATGTCACAGTGAGCTGATCTCAGGCTGAATGATGTCACAGTGAGCTGATCTCAGGCTGAATGATGTCACAGTGAGCTGATCTCAGGCTGAAACAAGCGACAGGTTTTCCTTCCATCTTACTTCAGCTGCTGCTGCAGGTTAAAGATCTTCCTCTTGACTCGCTGCAGGGCCGAGTGGATATCCATAGATCTGCTGCTGCTCCTGAAACACTTCGGCTGATGTCTCCGAGGCAACCGAGCACTTCACAAACAACCCAACACCACTTCCTGGTCACGGGGAGGACAGAGCGCTCTGATTGGTGGAGCGCCAGGCATCACGTGTTGAAATATTCACGAGGATCAGGTGGAACAAACGACTCGTCCCGCTCAAATAACAGTCACAGAAAGATGCTTCTGTTAGCAAAATATCACACAGACAGGAGGAGCGCCCCCTGGAAGCTGGCTGTGGTGCAAACCTTAAGCCCCGCCCCCTCTATGGAAACAAATGGGACATTTTCTTTTACTAAAACAATAAAAAAACACTTTAAATATTTTTTCAGGTTTATATATTTGTTGATTCATGACACTGATTTAACTCAATCTGCATTTTTAAAATAAGTTGGTTTTAATTAGTTTTTGAGGGTTAAAGTTACAGGTGTCATGTTTCACTGTGATTGACAGCCCTGTCAGCGAATGGGGAATGTTTATTTGCTTTTTAAAGCTCAAACCTTAAAAAAAGATGAAAAAACACCAGATTTTTTTTTATTAGGGCTGTTTAATGATAAATACGTGAAACAATTAAAAACATCACATCTTTTTCTCCACGTCCTGCAGCAGTTTGTCCAACAGGACCAGGTCCACTTTGTGTTTCATCACAAACTGTCCATCCAGGTGGAACACAGGTATGTCCCACCTGTAACGGTCGGACCACTCCCTGTTCTCAGGTAGACTGATGTCCACGAGCTGCAGGACAAACTGGGGGGGCACACAAAGAGGCACGTTTTATTATTATTTTACTAAATAAATTAAAGTTTAAATGAAAAATTAACACTTAATTAGATGTAAAATTAAGACAATTAAAGCTCTTTAGATTTTTTTATTTATTTACACATTTTTTCCAGAATTGTGGGAAATTATTTTCTAAAATGAAAGTGTAAAAACATGAAGGTGTGAGGAGGCGTGTGCGCAGCCTCACCCGGTGTCGGAGCGGCTGCAGCGTCTCTTTGGCCTGGTCGCACAGAGGACACGGCTCCTACGGTTAAAATCACAGACACGTAAACTGTCGCAGCATCGGAACGCAGCGTCACTTCCTCTGAGTCGTTTAAAAACTCAGACATGAAAGGGTTAAAGCAGGTGAGGCAGGCTTACTTTGGTGAACAGCGTCAGGGTCGGCAGCGCTTTGGTTGAAAACGGCCGCAGGAGGTCCAGAGGCGAGCGTCGACACAAAGCCTGAAGAGGAAACATTTGATCTGAAGACAGAACCGTGAAATAATGAAACAAACCCTGAGCTCCGACAGGTGAGGCGCTGCTCAGACTCACCTGGTTTGTTTACCGACGCTCACGGGCTTCATCATAAACACATCATTTAAAGTCACATGCTTATTCTTCAGATACAAAATGTCAAAGAAAATATTCTATATAAGAAACTTGGCTAGGMCTGCCACAAACTATTGTTTTTATAATCGATTAATCACCGATTATTTATTCGATTAGTCGACTAATCAGATCATACGTTCATTGAATATAAAACATAGCTTATCGTGTCAGAATGCAGCTGCTATTATATAACCATGGTTAGATGTTAGCTATATGCTAACTAAAAATAATTGCTGTGGAAGGDAAGTTCTGCTCTGCAGATATTACACAGGTTTCTCTTTCATTTTCTTAAAATGATCCCACACTTTGAGCTC